TGTAGAAAAATAATGGATCTTATCGTGCTAAGCTGGCAAGAACAATTTACGGAATGACACTCCGAGTGTTTTATTGAATTCATGATTAATTACTCCTTGGTGTTCAGCACGCGATTCATGGTTGTTTAATTGTATATTTTAAATGCTCCAATAAATCATAGCGTGGTATTTCATTTCGAATAAGGAAGTCGCAGTAATTATTCGATGATAATGAAAATGCAGCGATAGTAATGAAAATACGGTCATAATTATCTGCCCAACGAGATGAAAGTTAAATTTTTTAACTTTTACAATACACATACAATTTTAATTTAAATAAAATTAATTAAATATTCAATCGTGCGTCCTATATATTTATGAATTTTCTAATCTCCACGATCTACGTTTAGCAATATTACTCATTTAAAATATATTCGTAATTATTCAAAGACTCAGACATATCATTCCCTTAACGAGATATCCGTTTGCAAAGGGCATAAATGCAATTATTGTTCGTGTATAAATTGGCATGACGGGTCAGCAATGTTAATGAGTTAATTTCACGAAACGAACGACACGCCATTTTTGCAGAAGGGCGGCTTATTTATTTAGCGCTGGAATTGCGGCCCTTTTGTGCTGTTTAGAAGTGACGTCTTCTCGTCCCTCAGATAATTCTTTCTTATAGATCTCGTTATCGTGTAGGTGCCGTAGATAATATTTGCTCGAAGTTCGTTTGAGGAACATAACAAGCCAGTATGCGTCATTGATTACACTCTTGCTTCATTTGATAGCGCACTCGCAACAGCGCAGTTAATGTATGAATGAAAAAAGAATGGAGATGTGCGCGTTCGCACTTTTGTGCAATTTTGTTTTTAGAATAGTCGAGGATACGCTGTATTTAATGTTCATAATTGTCAGTTTTAATCAGCTTAATGGATCATTATTTCAATTACGACTATTACGAGGAACATTCGATTGGTACTTAGAAAGTATTGCTGTATTTTTAATCTTTCCGGCTGTCACGTCAAGTCAGATATATCCGTTTTCCAGAGTTATTTCTTTGTAGTGATGTTTGTAAAGCGATCTTTCGCAAGTCTTGAAAATGTTCGACTTACGTAGGAAGATCCAAGTCGACATTAGCTAAAAGTAACATAATATATATGTTATAATTTCGCACCCTACAGTGTAACTATTGTAACTATTGTACAACAAGTGTTACATTTGTTACGTAGAAAGGTCCCAGCAATTAAAAGTAATAATATAATATCTATGTTATTATATAATTTCGCACTCAACAGTGTAAGGGGCTGCGCACAATCAAAGAAATATGGAATAGAGAATAGAGAATGAGAATTTTATCCTATTAACTGTTTATTCCACAGTACAGTGGTTTCTTATTGAAATTCTTATCCCCTGTTCCTTTGATTGTACGTAGCAACTGTTACGTAACATAATGCGATATTATTATTAGGTGCGCAACTAAGTTCTCGCTGTTATTTTGATAGCATTTGCATGAAAATAACAGCGAGAACTTAGTTGCGCACCTAATATAATACAGATATGTTACTTTTAGTGATGTCAACTGAGTCATTCTCGAGTCGCTTACTTAACAACCATATAAATTCTGTTTTCTCTAAGAATTGTTAATACATCTTTCAATTTTTTTATGTCGCTATCTTTCGACTGAGCCATGATTTAACACCGTGATAATATACAATAGAGATACAAATGTTTCGTGAGACAATAACGAACGCTATCCTTTGTCGCTTGAGACTACGATTCTTTTTATTTCGTCGTCCCGAGGAGACGAGCTTGCCGTACATCCGCTTTAAAAAGAAGCGTTCCGTAGCTGTAGACGTGACAATTAGACGTTCCAATTTTCGTCCGTATGCTAATCCCATCGCAGATTTCACTCGCCGGTGCGGAAAAACAAAAGACACGGCAATTCAGAGAAGCCGAGTCTTTCGATAGTCACTGCCACGTTCTCGAGCTATTCCGCGTTTCATGATTTTATTAACGATAGATGCGATCGAGCGAATCGTTCGATGCGGAATTCTCACGACAGATGAAAACGCATTTCTTGCGAGTTTTTATTTCAATCCCTCTTCAATCCCTGGTGGCGGAACCTTTTAATTCTTAACTAATTAATGGAACGAGCGTTATAACGTAGCATTACGTTTTCAATTGTGCAAATGATACGTTCTATGATATGTTCGTGATGCTGATAATGCGAAGCGATAATCGTGAGATATTATTTCAATTCTTCGAACGTGATGTTACTTTCATTGCCTTATCACGCGCGAGTGCAAACCGTAAACGATCTCATCTTGTGAAATAACATCGAAAATGCTTTACGCTCTTCGATTATTTGCCATCTATCTGCCGGAATTCGTGCGGGGATATCTTGTTCAGCTTCTAAAATCCCGCGCGCTTTGCACGCCTCGCTCCGTCGTAACTCGTCGACTGCGACGTGTTTGTTTAGCGGCTTGTTTGCGTATTCAACATTCAAAGTCAACAATTGCGTATGCATCGCTTTAAATACGTGATTTCAGTTTCGCCCGCGTTACGCGCACGTGCGATTCGCGCGATGGTAAGCGGCTTAGCTGCATCGTGAGAAGGAAAAAAAAAAGGGAGGAAAAGGGAAGAGGAAAGAAGAGAAAAGAAGAGAATAATCTGCACGTCGCGAGTATTACAATCTCCGCATGTCGCGCCGCATTTATGTGTTCCACCATCATCGTCTCTCCTTTACTTCGCTTTGTTTCACGCACGTGTGCGCATTTTGTCACGCATCGAGAATTGAATATTGACGAAAGATGTTTCTCTATTGTCTCCCGTCACACGTTTTCACGCGTGGAAAGCAAGTAGGAACGTTTATAATGACTGCGCTCAGCAGAGAAAACTAATCAGTGAACGTTCAGTGATTTTTTTTTTTAATACGACAATTGATTCTTGCCTTTAGTTTTTCCGCTGGATCTGAGTAGGAACCAATCGTATTGAAGAATTACTGAACGCATACTGATCAGCTTTCTCTGCTGAACACAGTCGATGCAAGTCTTATGTATCCGTATTTATTTAGCGAATATCTCAGTTTAAGAACGCTATCGTCAGTCTAATAATCTTTCACCTGTCTATCTAGAAAAAGCGTAAATTAATTGCTAGAACTCGGTCTCGATCTTTACAAAGAATCACTATATCACTTACAATGTGAACGAGTTATTTTAAAAAGGGGACAAAGGCGAGGGAGGTAAATCGATAATTGGTCTTCTGTGAAGGATAAAACTCCCACGCCTCTCTCGCTATTTCTCTCTCTCTCTCTCTCTCTCTCTCTCTCTCTCACTAAAACGATAGATCTCTTACTTAAGCGATTTTGTATAACTTACTTGTCGGAAGATTATAGATTATGTAATATAAAGAACTTGATTATTGAATTTTGCTAATAAGATTTGTTCAACGGTATCGGAGGAGTTAAAAAATATAATTTTATATCGCAATATGTTTTTATATTAAAAAGAATATAGATGGAAATAGGCGGATCTTATTAAATAACAAATGTCGGTGAAAATCTTATATTTAAGATATTGTACAATACAATTGCTGCTAATTAATTCGCAGATCACTGATAATTTTTAAAGATTTATATAGAGATGTAAATGCATTATAATATTCGTTGGTTATTTAAAATTCAGTCTTGAACAATCTTAATTTATAAATCTTTATGTATAAGATTTATAAGTATATACTCGAATTATCGATATTACTCGAAAACACAATCAAAACAATAATGTAAATAGAGGAAATATTGAAGGTTATGCCAGGTATAAAAATATTTTGTTTACATTTCGCAAACAGACGTTGACACCATTTTGCCGATATCATTGCGAATGAATATATATACAATTAGCAGCTTCTCTTTCGGATGTAATCTCTTGCAGGAGACAAATATGATAACATATTCGTAATCATGATATTCGCAATGATCGACAGCAGACACACAATAATACCTCATAAATTCCTTATCAACGTTACTCGGCGTTTCACTTGCAGCAAACTTGCTATCGACACGTTTAAATTTTTCTTTCATAAATTGTTTAATTTATAATAATAAACGATGATAATTAACGTAATCTTACTTGCACACGAAGCAGTAGGTCCATCCATAGTTCGATCAGGTTTATACAACATTGAAAGAATTTAATCGTTTAATGACGTTAGGCCTCGCGTAACGTAATGGCGTACAAGTAAAGCATGGCAAATGAATCTCGTATTTAAAAAAATTTTTTACGCTTTTGTTGTTTAAATATTCGCTATACTCTTTATTTACGCAATTGTTGATAATTTAATTGACTTTCATAATTAAAAATGTCCAAAAGTTTAACAGAAATACACTATCATACATCTATAATGTAGTAAATGACGTTAACAGTTGATGATTGTGACCGACGTGGATGCAATATCGAATGATAAAACATTTACGAGATCGAGCCACGGTCGCTGTTTATAACGCGGTATGGTAATTACGAAAATATAGAGAAGAGATATAAAAAAGTTTAACTCTTAAACATCAAACTATGAAAACAACATCCTTGAGTACGGCATAATCCAGTTTAACTGTCTATAATTTTCATAAAAGTGAATATATTACAAATAATTTTTTTTTCCAATCAAAACATTAAAGAACATAACAGTATCAAGTAAAGTATGTATTTTTATTAACGAAAAAGTTATAAGCAATGCAAAATGAATTTAAAAAAAAAACGTTAGAAAAAAGTCGAAAATGCTGAAAAGGAGTTTGAAGGGTTCTCTTCTTAATTCTTAAGGGTCCTCTACATAGAAGTCATAGACAGTCGTAATTTAAGTCGTAGAAAACTCTGATCAATTCTAATCGAGTATTCTCCTTATATTTGATTGTGATTAATTGGTTTTCCACGACTTAAGACTCCACGATCGTCTTCCACGACTTCTATGTAGAGGACCCTTAAGAATTAAGAATATTGATGTTGATATTACTTATTAAAAAATACTTTTTTTGTGTGAACATCTGCTTTATTATGTGTAATGTTATGTATGAATCGTAGAAAATCGTTTAATATTATGAAAATAATATAGATTTTTTTTATTGAAATATAGAGTAAAAAATTGCCCACAAGCGGCAAATGTATTTAGACATGAAACACATAATATACTTTTATATATTTTATATATATTCTGTTGATTGTATTTATCTAAAGTCATGTTAGGATTGATAAACATCTGTTGCAACTCTTAGGTTGAATATATAATGCTTATTCTAAACATTATTGGCACTTGTAAATGACTATTTTTTTGTATAAATAACACTTATCACAAATTTCATCATACTTATAACTCATGGCGCGAGGCATTATAGAAATAACAAAGATAATATAATTTTGAATCTACGTTGCGTAATGATAACGAGTGATAACGAGAAAAAAAATCGCTAACAATATATATTTGATAGATTTAATTAATTCTAGAAATGAAACAATTTTTATGTTAATTTTATCACATCTACACTTTGTATGAGAAAGCCATAAACATTACCTCGAAATTTCACAACGTCTAAATCTCTATCTAGGTAGAATGTGAACTCGGATAATAATAATTAATATCAAGGCACATCATCGATATTCTGATACGAGAATAGCGTATTATACATATTACATTCAATAACGTATTATACATTACGTATATTTTGTACATCTATATACTTAAATATTGACATAGTTCGTTGTGTAGATTGTGATCATGCGCCTATTAATATCTAAAAATCTAAATTTAATAGAGATACGTCTCACATTATCTACGCTCAAACAAAAGATAAATTCGTATGTGTCATACTTTGTCATTATAAAACTTTTCTTTCATCCTTTTGTTCGTTTACATTCAATCACAGCGTTAATTATATTTCGGCGTAACTAATAGAGTAATTTGTAATTATCTTCAGTTTGTGATCAAGGCAATTTCAGTTTCAACATTGTAATAAATTAACAGAATAGCTGAAATTACAAATCAAATTGCAAAACGAAATTTGCAATTTGATTTGTAATTTTTAATCGTGTTTTAATTAAACTTATGTGTAGAAATAGTTTATTGAGTCAAGGCAAAAAATAACTTTGCTACACAATTGGCGCACGTGATTTCGTCAGTCTTAATGTACATCCAAATTGATATTTTATAAAAAACAATATTTAATATCATTCGAGTAGAATTACGTAATATAAGGAATGTAACGATCATGAGTCTTTTATTCGCAGAGCGAGAAAGAGCAAGAGAAAAACATATCAGTATTTCTTGCAAATGAAATATATGATTTATACTAATCTCTCTCAAAAAGTTATTCTACGTATATTTGATTTAATATTTATAGATGCTTCATCTGTCAGTTATACAAGACACATGTGTCTAAAAGAATTTACATTTTAATTCAACAAATATACGATTAAAGAGATTTATATATTATTTGTACGTTTATTATAGAAATTTATTATTTATTATTACTGAGCTAGAATCGATTGAAATTCTTGAATTTCTTTTACGTAACTGCCACATTTATATTTAAAAAATTATCTCTGCATGCAATATGCTAATTCGTATGTACATTTGCGATTATTATAATTACACGAGTTTTTTAATTTTTTTTTTTGGCATTTCATGCATTATTATTTATAATGCTAATTATACATTAATATATGTGTGCATATAAAAAAAATTTGATGTGAATTTGCCTATGACTATGCATATGTGCACTTATAAAATATTCTGTTTATGTATATTCTCCTTTCTTACATGCTACTAATGTAAGACATATACATATTTTAGGATAGTGCGCCAACCGTTATAGTGGAGCTGAGACACATAATAAAAATTTAGTTTGTAAATTTCTTACAGCAGCCTTTTTATGTGTCAAATTGCTATCCCCAATTGCACATTTTCATACATAGCTTCAGAGAAGTTTAAATTCTTCTCGCAGAAACGTTCAGTACAGTTTCGCATACAAACGACGATCGCCTCTGACGTTAGGATCTTCATTATTGCTACTTGTTTTATCCATATACATCATTTCCGTTTTCTTGTCAGACGATTCGTCTACCGCCTTTTCCGTGGTATCCTATAAAACATCGCACATGTAAGTTGTGGTAAAAATGCTCTTCAAAATATTCTCCTTCCAATCACAGAAATAATTAAAGAGTTTTAAGAATCGTATATATACCGTTGTGGGTGCACGTCTTTTCTTCTTGAAATGTAGGAACAATATAGTACCAATTAAACCTAATCCGATGACTATCATAGCTATGCCGATACTTAGCATCACAGTTGGAAGTGCTAGTAATTTTTTTAAATTAGAAGCCATCTCCTCGGAAATTTGTACTTTCAGCTCGAACCAAATCATTGGCATGTAGATCTTGGGTACATTGTTGAAGATTCTAAACAAATCAGTTTTTCTTTTTATTTAATTGCATAGCAAGAATAATTTTTTGCTCAAGTATTTAAAAATTTATATATATACAAATCTGAAAATAATTTTGTTAGATTGTCAAAATAATTATGTAAGGAATTCAATCACGATGAGCAAAACTGCAAACATATTTTGACATTCTAGCATTTAAATAAAATTTACTTTAAATGTATATCTAGCTTAGATATTCTAGCAACACCGTTCTTCCCGTGTGGATAAAATTAGATACGTGCACTGAGAAAAATGTCACTGTGCCAGTGCTTTTGATCGGAAATAATCATCCTAGTACTTTCTCCGATTAATTTCGATCGGATTCAGGATTATCCGTTAAAATTTCATCGGATAAAACTAAAACTTGATCGGACATTAAACTTGAACGGATAAAAAGAGAGTTTTATCTGATCAGGTTTGATATCCAATCAATTGGAAGGCGGTCAATCACAGAATAGTTGGTGATTAGCAATTGTTTCCATAGACTTTTTAAGCTGATGACATTACTTTCATGTTGAGATCAAGCGAGCACGTATCTCTAGCGCGAATATCTATTTGATTTTTATTACGTGTCTCTATTTGATATTACGCATTCATTCTTATTCTTGGCTGCATAAACTGCAATCATTGCAGTATCGAAAAGAAGTGTGCGTGACCGTGAAATTTCTCAGAATATAAAAGCAGTGCTTGATATGAAAGTTGAGGAAAAGTAATTCACATTTTTATAAGTAAATTTTTTTTGTAAAAAAAATTGTGATCGAATAGTCCGTTCAAAAGGTAATGGACAGATATTTTTTATCAGACATTTCGATGAATTTATTTTCAATTAAATGTAATCAAATTTTTTGTCCGATCAAAATAATTGGAAATAGCCGTTTATTACTTTTTGAAAGGATAATTTCGATCATTATGATCGGAAAAAACCTGGATATTTTTCTCAATGTGTGTATTTCTCAATGTGTCTTTGTAATTTAATATATTATCGTTCGAATATTTTATCGTTTTTTTTTTATGATTCTCTAATTTAGATATTTCAGCCAAACCAGTTTTTCTACGGTTTTTCTCTTGATAAGATACATGATTATGTCTTTAATAATTTTAACGAATGTCATTACTTTTCTGTGAATTATCTCCAGCTAAATGTAGCTAAATATTTTAGCAAAACTGTTTTCTTTCCATGTAGATAAGATCAGATATGTTACTAGATTTCTTATAAATTATTGAGTTTTTTATTATCAATACTAGAAAAATGCCTATTACGGTCAAAGCTGGATCTTCATTATTTTAAATAATTCAATCTTGAATTACTAATATATATGTTCTTAATATTGTTTTTTATTATCGATTTTTGTGAATTATTTCTATACTTACGTTATAGTCTCTGATGGTTGCAGAAGAAAATTAACTTGAAGTCTAGCTATTACTTCTAATGGAATTCCTGTCATCTGCAATTTATTAAATGTCGAAATGTTATATAAAGGCGATTCTGGATGGTATGGCCTGTATTAGTAAATATTATACACACGCATGCCTAATTATCTACATAAATGTCCACTCGGTTTTTTTGGCTTGAAATCGAAAACACCTATATATACTTTTAAAGTAGTTTCACATAGTGAAAAATACGAGTTAAAAAACTTTTAACGATTTCGGACTATGTTATTTATGAGCCCGAGCATCGCGCATCATTATGATAAAACAGTAATGAAGTAGAGGAACAGGAATGATAATGAGCGTGAATACCGACACATTTTAATTTCAAGCAAAAAAAAATCGACTCTGATGTAAATCAGCGAATCAAATTGACGTATATTGGCCATGTCGTCTGCAGCCGCTTTAACACGAAGCTATGCGAATAATTCAACACGATTGCTTTCTCAATAGCGCATATTATCGTGGCAGCGCCACATCCTCGATAGACCGGATGAAACGCGATAGTAAAATTAGTATCTTGGCAATAGAGCACGGGGTTGACTAACCGCCGTTATTTCTATCGCGGCGATTTATTCGTTCGCGCTGTAAAAACGATTTGCTAGATTGCCACTTACGGGTTCCAAAGTTATGGTGAAGCTATGATCCTTGTCATTAGGATGTAGTCCTTCGATTTGGTCGAGGAGCACAGGATCACCCTTGTAAAAATGAGGTAGACTGATGAAAGCTGGCGCACCGAAACGGCACGCGGTCACATTCATTAGACCCGACGGCATGCATTCGCCATTGCAGTAGCAATGACCCATGTTAATAACATCCGGATCATCATCCGAGTATTCATCCGTATCTTTCTCGGATGAAAGGTCGTTGTCAAAAACACTTTCGGTGGTCGTAGTGTATCCCATCTCCGACAAATGCTCAGCTGCAAAAAAGTCTTCGGTTGTTGTGGTCCTTTCAAAATATTTCGCTTGCTCGTGAGGATAACGTCGCCTAGTATCGTTTCCTAGGGTCTTCTTGTCAATGGTGTATCGATAACCTTCGACGCCAAAATGAGATACCGTTCCCTCGTATTCGTAGGTGACCGGACTAAGAAATTGTAAAAAAAAAAAAAAAAACAGAAAAAATAAGATCAAGAATTTAATGCACAATATAAATTTTGGCACTACTTAAAATTTATTAGGGTAGTTATAACAGGATAACAAATGCAAGAATGGAGAGATTACTTTTACTCTGCGGTGAAGCTAATTAACAAGTGAAAATAGATTGATCAATTAAATATAACTATGTCATAAAATTGTGTTTAATAAATAGAGAAAAATATTGTCTATACTGCTTTAGTTAAAAATATTAGACATCTTATTAACGATTTAATATTTTAATTCAAAAATTTATGGTATTTGCTGTGATTATCTTTTACTTCAAGATCCTATAATTATGATATTATTTATGCAACGAAACTAGGACTAATTGCCTCAACATTTAAATTCATAAAAATAAAATCTTGATCTTTCGTTAAATATTGTTTGACAACACATAAATAAAAGCAAAGTTAGTCTATAAATTTGATAATATTTTTCAACTAACCGACATAAATCTATGCTGAACAAAGTAATCTTATCTTTTGCTCTATTAGGCGGCCAAAATTCACCCGCGCTGCCTTCAATAACGTTACAAGGGCTCTTGAAAAATTTCGTCGTATCCTTGTAATGCCATTTTCTTAGGATACCCAACTGGCTGATATCATCCTCTCCCGTTTCCATATTTAAGTATCCATCCGTGATGCTGTTATTTTTCTGTATAATTAAGACATAACAATAAATTGCGAAGTATTCTTTTTTATATGTTTGTGATTCTATTTATATCTGAGAAGGTACTTATGATTTATATTGGATTTTTCCATCTTTTGATAAACTTCAACTCACTAACTAACTCTCTTATGCTTCTTACTCTTTTATTCTTTTCTTTATCCATTGGATAAATTATATCCGAAGATGGAACAATCGGCCTTATGCGAATTAATATTTTTTTTAATTAATAATTTTTGATATATGCAATGGAACATGTTTTTGTCTATTTTCCTTTAATACTTTTATTAACACCAAAGCGATAATTTGTTTCTCATGTGAGCGATGCGTGTTATCATTATTTGCACAATCAGTTGCTTCAACAATATAATCGTGGCTACTTCACTCTTAAAGATATGCCTTTAGAGATATGCCTTTTCCTACTAATTAACTATAATTTTTATAGACTACTAACATCAATATAATAAAATCAGTATAAAGTATCTTCGGACGTTTTTTCATAATGTATCTTCGGACGTTTTATTCACTGCGCGGCGCGACCTATATGTGATCTCCATTCATTATCAATTTAAGCCTGGTTACAAATACTCTACCATCGACTATAACGCTATTATTTAGTACTATGTAACTCAAATGTTCCACGAACTATTTGCTTGATATTAATAAATTAATTAGATTGATTTTCAGTTTCTCAGCACATCTTTCTGATACCTGGTTGAGCATTAAATTATTAAAAATTTAATTTAATTCGTGATATTCGACACACACACACACACACATATATGTGTATTTAATATATTGCACACACTAATAAGTTGTCCTTGCTGACTGAATGAAACGTTAAGAAAAAAGAACATGTTTTATTAGTAAACGTACCGTATAGAACCATCCGAAACGATCAACCATCGGAATGTCGTCTAATGGCATTATTTTGCTCATAGTGAATAGAGAATCAGGATAGCCTGTAAACAGCAATTCATCCACTGTTTTACTAGTGTAGTATCGTCGATTAGTACTACTTAAGAGAAAGGACAGCGACTTCTGCCAGTCGATTTCCCAATATCTAACTTTGTGCGCTGCTGACTGTAATAAAGAAAATAAATATATTTAATATTTCTGATTCTTCTTGAATTGATTATTTTTTATTTTCATATCAGGACGGAATTTAACCTTCTATAATCCAGTGATTTTCAAGTTATATGTTGATATATCAAGATGTTGATCTTGATTTATTTATTTAATTTTTATCGCAAAGTGATGTATACATCTTGTGATATAACGTAACATGCTTTTGCAAGTTGTTTTCAGAGATTAGTTGTTTATAGAGATAGAAATTATTTTTAGATGTATATTTGATGTTACATAAATTTTTTCATGACTACGAAAAAAATTCGTGCTACATAATAAGAATTAAAAAGCCGGGAAATCCAGTTACATCTTCCTATATATGGTTGTATTGTTACTCAATTGTTTCACGTACGATTTTTTTGCTTATATTGTTATTGTGAATTCCAATTATTGTTACTAAGCACGCGATAAAAGATATAATAAAGTAACTTACTACAGTGACGGGGTCCAAATTAGTGATGATGTCGCTAAGACTTCCATTGCTTCGCTCCGCATCGTAATACCATATTCGTCGTTGAAAATAGCTGACAGTTTTGTTCTCGTGATTAAATTGGATATGGTCCTTTTGCCTTATTTCCCTGCATTTCATAATTGCATTAACAATTTCTTCCATTCTTTTTTAATTTCGTACGGTCAAGAGATTCTTTGTAGTTGTCAAGCATTATTCTTAAATTTATGAATTAGAAGCGGATAACATTAATGAAACACTAATATAAACGTTCAAATTTTTCATAAAAGAAGATGTTTAATTTTAAGATATTAAAATATTGTATTTCTTATTTCCGTTTTCAAATACTTAAAAATGTTTTAGTTTTAAATGGACACACAAAACGCTAAAAAGTGTTTTTGAAAAGCGTCTTAATCGCAGGTATTTAATTTTTTGAAGTATATATTATTTTAAAACACATGAAGTTGTTTAGAGTTTTAAAAAATGTTTTAAATTGAAAACGCTAAAAGCTGTTTTACTTTAAATAATGTTTGATTCTTAAACGTTTCTTGCGTTTAGATGAAAAAGCCAAAGCCAAAAGCTATTTTATTTTAGATAATGTTTAATTTTTATAAAAACTAATTAATTTTATTTTATTAAATTTGCTTGTTTTGCTGGCCACATATACAGGTGAGCCGAATTTTCTTAAAAAAAAATCTTCCAGTTCGTCATCTCTCATGTTTTGATATACCAAAACACTTTTTAGCAAATACAACGTCTTGTATTTCAAAATGTTTTTCTTTCGTAAATGATTAATATTGATAAGATATTTTATTCTTTGTTATGCAAAAGAAATAGACGTTCAACTATCATAAAACATTTTTTTTCGTTTAAGAAAAAAAAACTTTTTAACATTTTATAAATATTAAAATAAATTAAAACTTTATGATTTAAAATACGGAAATGTTTAAAACTGAAACATCTTTTATTAAACATTTGTTTTGGGAAATATCTTTTAAATGTAAGCATTTTAAACACTGCACTTTTTATAGTACAGTAATTTTATTTATATGCAAATTAAACAATATATATATTTTCTGCTTCATTTTAATTGATACATAATTGGTTGCTGCTAATTCTGAGGTTGATTATTCAATCGCAACTCAGATATCTGACCTATATATATTGCTTATTAATATTAACGGGGCCAATTGCCCCCATACAGGACGTAGGTATGTAATGATAATGACTATACCTAATGCTCTCTTATTGTCAAAGCCGCAATCTTTATATTACCAACACAAAATTAGGAACGGAAGCAGCATTGTAGAAGAAGAATTTGGAAGGGGAGAATTTCATTTTGGGCGGTAATATGATAATAAAATTAGTTTAATTGTTTATCTGGAATTGATGACCATTATATCTCCAAATAATTATGTGCATGATTTTATATTTCGTTAGTCATAATTCTATTAATTTAGAAAAGTTGCAATTACAAACTTGATCGAAATTCAATCGTGTAACTGAAACTCTAAATTTTTTCAAATTTCGTCAATGATGACAATGATATTTAATAATTGAGTGTCGAAATTTAAAGAAACTTAAGAGTTTCAGTTACACAGGATTTTAATCCAATTTATGATTACAACTTTTACGCTCTTTATGTTTTTGCGCGTTCATACCTTGATGAAAAAATAAAAAGCAGAAGAGCAGTGGCCAATCAGGACTCGCGTTGGTAGTAAGTAGTACAAAAAACTGAAATTGTCGACTAGCAGCACGAGTTCTTTGGCTGCTGTTTTTTCACTTTTACTTTTCCGTCAAGTGTGCCTTTAAAAGACGCGTGAGGTGTTGTTGGAAAACGAAAGTTGCGAAATGACTCATATCTCGAATCGTTTTTACACCGGTGTTCTACATACTAGTTTTAACGCAAAAGTATTTTAAGGTAAACTAGTCGAATCAAGGATACGCGAATAAGGGAACATATCTATATGGTACTTATTGAAGAATCGCAAAACACATGTTATTACGGTCGAGAAGAAAGTAATTAATTAGTCAATTACTTCATATAGACTCGCCTACGCGTCGTACGTGATTGGTATTTTTTTATACATTAAGACATCAATACAATGAGGTTAACTATTTCTCATTCATTGTCATTATTAGATTCGTTATCGTGTTGTAATTTCATAGTCTGATCAGAATAACATGACATTTATTACATTTTGCATATGAAGTCAGATTTCTCCATATGACTTTTCTTTTATCAGATTTCTCCATATGACTCTTCTTTTAGATTTAGATCTTTCCTTATAGTACTAATTAATATGCTAGTTATGATCATTAAGATATTTGTTTATTAAATGCAACTTATTTATCATAAAATAGATAATATTGTGTCAATACGTGTTAATCATATTAATTTTGCTCATAAATAGGATACCGCAATTGTAATCTAAATTAAAATAATATATTTGCAGAAATTTGCATTTAGTATTAAGCACTAAAATCCGCTTTGATTAACAACAAGATTATTTCTATTAGTAAATTATAATTAAAAAATATATATAATAAGAATGTTATTAATTTTGTTATTAATTTTACAAAATTATAAATTGCAAGCACTATTTTCATTTGTAGTCGCATAAAAATTATTGTTTATTATGCGACTACCGATTTAAATGAAAACAGTGATTGCAATTATAATTTTTTGTAATGTCGAAATTAATAACATTTTTATTATATATTTTTTTAAACTATGATTTACTAATTAATAGAAATAATTCTGTTGATCAAGTACTCAATATTAAATGCAAATTTTTGCAAATATATATATATTATTTTATAATAATTTTATAAATTGCCTACCGATACGATTTATTGAATTTAAATCGTTTTCACAAGTTGAATTCAATTGAATTGAAGCTAAAATAATTATCATAAATTTTGTTGATTAAATGTCTTTTTCATATTGATGCTAATGAGCAATATTTATTTCAGCCTAAGGTAATATTTTTTGCAATTATTTAGTAGTTTTTTAAGCTATTTATTAGTATTATCATTCAGAGGAACGATCAATCTTAATTTATAATAATTTATGTTTACCTTCAGTTAACTGTGTTTCAAATCCGACGATATCCATATTGACGCGCAGTTTATAAAACTGAAATAATGTATTTGCAAAAATTTCCATTTAGTTTTATTGATTACTAAAATTTGCTGATCGAAAATGTGATATTATTGTCTATTATTTGATTTATTCTCGTCGGTCTAATTTTAATTTATAATTAATTTTTATAATAAATGCAATAAAGTTATTTCGCCTTAAGATTAATCAGTTTTATTTAAATTTCAGCCATTTCATTTTTGACACGTTAAGCGCCATGATTGAGTATAAAAATTATGTCATGATTGAATAATAAATAATTAAATGCGCAAAAAGAAGTCAATTCGGCGCTTAAGCTAGAATGCACAATTTTTAAAGCATTAATTTTGAAATATTCTGTTTATAATCAAAATTAATATAATCAAGATGCATTGACACAAACAGTGTAATTATAATTTTACCTTATTTGTAGTGGCTTATGCTTCGCATGAGCCTTGAAATTTTCTAGGTTAGTGATTCTTCTCTCTCTTCTCTGTCGTTACATTCATAAATATTATTGAAATATATTCATATATTTTTCTGCATGAAAATTAACACATACAAGTAAAAGTTACTAGTGAGTCTTATTGAAGGAGTTAATTTTGTCTTCTCGTTGATACACATGACATAGAGAAGAGAATGTATTATACGTTCTTATTTTATGTTTTTTTTTATGCCACGATTTCGTAAAGCTTAATAATGAAAATTGTTCGTTTGCATTTAAAGTCTTACCTGAAATAATAAGGTCCAACTTGATTGAAATGCGGTTTTTTTATGTTCAATTCCTCCGGATTGGTCCAGTTAAAGAGATATACCTTCATAAATAAAGGCGGGAGGTTGCTGGTATCCTTCCACATCTCAAAGCTTTTGGAAGTCGGCGAGAGAGCCAATTCCTAGAGATACAAAGAAATATTTAGCGGAAGTAAAAAAATAATTAGCCAATAACAATAATTGTTATCATCACTTTATAATTTGATGACGTTTCGCTGATTGTACAATATGCAATGTTGACAATGCATAAATGATTTCCTTATAAAGTGGCACTTAAATAACTATTCAGATCGCGTTTTACAGTTAATGAACACACGCAACAGTTGTTAGTTTATACTATAGCTAGCCACGCGATCATAACAACGCAAAAAAAAATAATTTATACTACGTATTATTGTGTATGAACAGTAGTAAAAAAATTACTGAAAACACTAAATTGGTCACACATTAATTATGCACCTACAATTTACAATTTATTCTCATAATTGACAGGAAGAAAAACTCTCGTGATTGTAACAATCATAATAGCAAAAGATAATTTTATATTTGAAATTAGTTACTTACTAATCAATTGTAAATTATAATACGAAATGCGATAAGTATCGGATTTTTGCTAGCAACTGTTTCTTGAATAAGAATGTATTATTTGCGCAGCTGTTAGTAATTAATCTTCAGGTCGTGTTGATTGTATGAAAGGTTTAGAAAGGAAAACAAAAGGAGACACGTGATATGGTATGTGTGTCCTTACTTTTATCAATACTAATATTATTCGCGCGCGATAATGCCAGTGGCGTGAAATGGAACTGTTGCAATGTGCCGCGACACAGAGAAATACCAATTAATGGGACAATCGGCCACTTTTCCAATCGGGTTGGTACTAGCGCCGAGGCAAGCGTCCAGTCTCTAAACGCATAGTATGTGGATCAGTTCAACGAGTGATTTTATTTATCGCAAACGACACTCATGCGGCATGATATTTGCGCATTTAATACATAAATGTGGCTTATTTTCCACTATGGATGAAAAACACGCAACGTACGTGTTATTCCTTCTTGAGAAAAGCTCGATAAGTGTAATTAATCATCAGTTTAAAAATCAACAAGTTTCAGGATTGTCATTTTGCTAAAAATAAAGATTTTAATTAACATCAATTAAGAGGAAGTGCCAATTACTGTCGAAGTTAGATGTTGGAGTAATAACTTTATATATGTAATTTATTGTAAATACATTTACTTCAGATACAAAATTTAATACATTGGGCAAAACGAAATGATAAAGAAGGCATAAAAGGCCAGATATTAACTTGCAATGATATAAAATAAAAATGAACAAATGAATGATGATATCTTATTTCTTATACTTATGAATAAGATTTTTTTTATTTTTGTGATCAATCATTATTATATGCAATGAATATATTTAAAGGCTTCTTTTTGGAACGACAAGTAATCTCAGAGCCACAAATAGCAAGTGATAGAAAATTGAATTAATTTTTAAATTTTAAAAAATGTTTAATTTAGTTTATTGCAAAGCTATATGAAAAAGACTACATGTTAACAGAGTAATAGACATAAACATTAGACTATAGTTAACATAAACATAAATACAATAGACAATAGTAGCTTGCAAATGATTAGGCGTCAGCAAAATTGCTGGTACAAAAGCCTACTAACAAAACCAGAATAAGACAATAATGCAATAAGAGGTAAACCAATAGCTGAAATCATACACACACATACACACACGTGCATACACCTGCAAACACACTAATTACATCAGTCTCGTTTAAATACTGTGAGTGACGCGATGAAACGCGAGGCAGCGAAACGAAAGGAGGAAAGAAAGGGAGAGGTTTTTATTGAATCAGGAAGAGAATTAAAATATTTGACAGAGGTGTAGAAAAAAGCGGCACGGAATTTAGTGGACCGATATATGAGAAAGGATAAGTAATCTTGGTATCTGGTGACAAAAGGGTTAAAAGAGGAATGATGTTTAGAGTTCAACTGAAGGAGACGTCGCAAGAATTTTGGAAATTTTGGATATGTTGTACACGATTTAGCAGAAATTGATTAAGAGCTGGAACGTAAATGATATCAGCGTAATCAAATAGAGAAATAAGAAGTAATTGAGAAGTGAGGAGTTTTTGAGAGCAAGAAAAGATGTGGCGAAGGGACTAAAGAAGACGTAAACGAGCATTAGCAGCCACTTGACGACCACATGTGACTCGAATTACCATGAAGAGTCAACATGGATACTACGAATCTTAATAGAGGAGGAGTGAAGAATTGGAATAGAATTAAGAGAAATATCGAAGGATTGAATGCGACATAACAATGTTTAGTAACCGACAATCATGACAAAGATGATTTAGAAGGATTTAGATGCAAGGCATTATTAGTGGACCATTCGGCAATAGATTTTAAATCTGTATTCAAAGCAGAACGGAATAGGTTACTAAAGCATCGAATAGGTGAAATGATTTGAGAAAAATTACGTTATCTGCATACACGAAGAGCTCGAAGGAAATTAGAATAATAATGCTGTAATTCATAAATTTATAATATATCTGCCTGTTCATATCGTCGAATCAAAGTTAAGAAGAAAAATAGTTTCAAAAAGCAATCGGTTATGAAGTCGTAAGTTCATAAATTTTGACAAAATTTAGACAATACTTGAAGATGAAAATCCAATGATTTTTTGACGTAAATTTTACATAATATCTATATATAATATCTATATAATAATTCATTTTATCATTATGTATTTAAGAAAGTCTGGGGATGTAAACATCATTTAAGTATTTAATAGAATTAATAAGAAAAAAATCACTGAAAGTAATCAAGTTAAAAAGATCGAAACATATCTATTAATAGTAATCAATTATCATTATATTAACAAAGTTTCACAAATAATATCCAGCGCAGCTCGAATAGCCTGTTAATTCAATATTTTTGAATTGATATAAGAGCCTTGTTAATATTATAGTTTAAATCATCAGATTGAACTTTTTATTTACAAGTATTATTTGAATCTTGTTTGAATTATGACTTCAACGATTGTTTTTTTAAACATTTTTCTTTTTAAATAATTTGATGACATGGACAGACAGATTACGTATCGTATTACTGAGATAAGCGAGATTAGATTATTAATTGTAAATATTTTGTAATATAAAAGTACCACAAGTATATGAGATGTAACTTAAGCCGATAGTTTAACATAAGAAAGAAGAAGAATATTTTACATACGAATTATCGTAGAAATCCGTTTCAAGTTCTTATAAAAAAAAAGAGTTGAAATCGATCTGGAAAGTAAACGCACTGATTCAATGTGGCACGACCGAGAAAGCGAGAATGTGTTAAACGACTTCTACAATGAGATTTCAAGGCGTAAAACTTAAGCGTAAGCCTTAAGTCGTAAGAAATTGACCAATCATAGCCAATTATTCTCCTCATATTTGATCATGATTGATCAATTTCTTGCAGCTTAATCTTAAAGATTAAATTTCACGTTTTAAAATCTCATTGTAGATGCCACGTTATAAATCTTGTTTGATGTTACAAATTGTTTTATAAAATGAGAAAAAATATGAGAATGTGTTGTCACAGATGAACACAGATTACAGATGAAAATAATTAGTCATCGTCTACACTCACTTTTTGAAGAATTTGATGAAAAACTGTTGGCCACAAGAAACAGAAGGAATTACCAAGGGCTATCAGGAATAGCCCTAGGATTCCAAAGCTAAGCGATTTGTTCATCCACGGCCTCATAGTGACGCGTGTATCTCCACATGCACCGATCCTCGTCTCTTCAGCATGTGCACCCTGAACTCGAGCGTTCGGCTCTTGTTAATCACTTGTCTCACTCTCCGCGTCTCGAGTTAGCTTCAGAGTCTGTAAGATAAAACGTATCTAATCTACCAGTCAGCGACGAGTTTACGTCGCAGTCGCACGTGTATATGTGTATAATCATGTGTATTAATATTGCGTGTGCGTGATGCGTTTCTTTAAGCCAATGGAATTTCCGAGACGACTAGGAATACATAGATATCGGCACGCACAGACACGTGAATTTACATGTATTGAATGCGAGATATTTGTGAGCATTCTAAGAACTTGTAGGCCAATGTTCATAGTCGATTCTTATATTTATGGCTGTAGACAATCTCAGGTAGATAATCTTAAGATATCATAAATCAAAAGAACTATATTAGCATTTTCAGACATGATTTTAAAATAAGAACCGATTACGTGATACTGATTTTAGAAATCGGAACAAAAAATGTAGTAGACAAAGTAACGTCAAATAAATTATTAGTGGCATCAAATGAAAAAGAAATAGTTGATCTGTTTTATAATCTATTATTTCGCGAAAAAATGATTCTATTTATATGTATACACCTTTCTTTTTATGTTAAAATATATATAATATATAATAAAAATATATA